GGTCTGAATTTTCTATAATGAAATTCTATAATAAATCTATATCACATGAATTTTCTACAATGAACATGCATTAGTTTTATAAATCCCAAAACAAAGATATTTTTTAAACAGAATTCTCAGTTTACAGCATATATTCAATACTATTCTGATTCAAAGGCACTTACTGGACCTAATGATGGGCCAGGCCTCAGGGTGGTGGAGAGGCAGCATCTACGTAAGAGAAGAGCAGAGGGTGTACAGGCAGGGAGACCACCTGCTGTGTGGCTTGGGAAAATCACCTAACTTCTCTGAACCTCACTCCTTAAAACAAAGATGTGAGCCCAGTTGGTGTGGCTCAGTGGTTAAGCGTTGACCCATGCACCAAGAGGTCACTGGTTCGATTCCTGGTCAGGGCACATGCCCAGGTTTTGGGCCAAATCCCCAGTGGGGAGCATGCAGAAGGCGGCCAATCCATGTTCTTTCTCATAGATGTTTCTATCTCTCTCTAAAAATCAATAAAGAAAAAAAATTAAAATAAAATAAAGATATGACAATAACTGTGAGATGCAAATGAAGGAACAGGTGTGGAGGTCTAGGCATGGGGTCATCCCTGGGTGTCATCTCACACGATCCCTGAGCAGCCCCACAAGGTGGGTACTATGAGCATCTCTATTTTACAGAACAGGAAACTGAGGATCTGAGAGGTGGACTGGAAAGTACAGATCACACTAAGAGTAGGTGGTCGAGTCAAAATGAAAATTCTGTTAAGTCCCAGGTCAGAACTCTCCACCCCAGTCCTGTCTACTTTCCCACTGTCCACCCCCTCCTTGTGTCCAGACAGGGGTGTCACTCTCTAGACCACTTGACAATCCACTGTGTTTGGTTCTTGTGTTTGTTATTTGTCTTTCCCACTACAAGATCAGCTCCATGAGGGAGGGATGTTGTTTTGTTCAGTCATATCTCAGTAACTAGAACTGTGCCTGGCATAGAGCAGGTGCCACATGACTATTTGAGTGAACTGGTAAAAAAAATGGAAGAATTCCTTAGTGAAGAACCAAAGAAAGTGACCCTGGGGCTCATGGAGGTACAGAGTCAGCCCTTTGAGGTCTCGGGGCTGAGTAGGACCTGGGCCCAATGCCTCTTTCCCAGCAAGCTCTGCCTCTCCCAAATCCAACAGCCTCAGTTTGTCAACACCTCTGTCCTCAGTCGCCCAAGATCCAGGACAAAATCAGTCTGGTGCAGGGAAGGGGCAGGACAAAAGGGAAGATGGCTCCATTCATTTCTGGCTGGACTTCTGCCTGCGGTGCTTTTGTGCCTCAGTTTCTCAATCTGGAAGAGGAGTACCTGTCACCACACTGACATGTGGTATAGAAGGATTCTGGAGGAATAAGCAGAGTTGATCCTTCCTGTCTCTGCTCCTTCAGGAGGGGCTGAGCCAGCCTGAGGTACAGCCAGTCATACCTGTGCTCGGAGGGATGGGGTGGTGTTGTGAGGAGGTACCTCTGACAGAGCTACAGGGTCAGAGCTGGGGGAGGCCCCTTGTTTTTCTGACACCGTCACTGTAGACAGGATGGGAAACCAGAGGCCCAGAGTAGAGAAGGAGCCTGACTTAGGACATGGAGGACAAGAAACTGGGTGTTGCTCCAGCTCAGAGCTGTCCCCTCCCGAGCCCACGGGACACCAGGGGTAGGCTCTGTCTGCTCCACATGAGTATCTGCCCCCATTACTGTGTTGTGGCCACAGGAAGCCAAGATTCTACAAGTATAAGATTAACAAACAGGCCAGGCAGAGCCTCTAAGTCTGGCCACAGAGGCCTAGGGCTACTGGGTTCCACAGGCTGCCACTGTGGTCAGGGACCTGGCTGGCACCAGGTCTCATTTCTCAGGAGCCAGGTGAGGCCAACAGAGGCAGCAGGTGTGGGAGACTGGGCATGGGCACTGATAGCACAGCAACTCTGCTATCAGACTCCACGTGGTTCAGGGGCCTGGGGACAGGGCCTCCAAATGAGAAAAGAGTCCTGCTAGGTGTCTGATCCTCTCTCCCCCAAATCAGTCTAGGTAATTAATAGTTAAAACCACTTTCACTGAGAGTTCTACTAGTGCAATTAGTATGTCAGAATAAAGAAGTCCCTTCTGCCCTGGCCAGTTTGGCTCAGCGGTTAGAGCGTCGGCCTGTGGTCCAGAGAGCCTGGGGTTCGGTTCCCACTAAGGGCACGTACCTCGGTTGCAGTTTGTCCCCGGCCCTGGTTGGGTCGTGCGGGTGGCAACCACTCGATGTGTCCTTTTCACGTCGATGTTTCTCTCTCTCTCTCCCCCCCTCCCACTCTTTCTGAACAAAATATGGAAAAAAATGTCCTCAGGTGAGGATAAAAAAAAAAAAGAAGTCCCTTCTGACAGCTGGTTGGGCCCATCCACAACTGGGCTTCCACTGCACAAGGACTAGCCTGTTGATCCCACAGGCCTTAGATCTTAACAAAATACACAGAGATGGTGGAGGAAGAAGCTGGGACTTGGAATCCACAGCCTGGATGATGACATGAATGTGCTGTGTGGCCCTGAGCTGGCCACTCAAACTCTCTGAGTCCATGAAACAAGGCTGGTAAATCAGCTTTGCATGGTGCCGCATGGGTAAAATGAGGACTTCTAGAGCTATGGAACTTCAAATGCTAGTCTTTATTCTAAAATTAGGTGGAAACACCTGTGGTTGGCTTTTAAATTCTGTTTCTGGGTTTGACACATGGGGACATTCCTGTCACATCTGAACCAAGGCTGGGTGGTAGCTGGAAGGGACTGGACTCAGCAGTGATGAGGCCCAGGGTCACCCTAAAAGAGGGGGCTGACTTTCTGCTCCTCCCATGTATCAACCAAACACACAACTCTGAGGATGCACTGAGCACTAGGAGCCCCATTTTACAAGAAGGGACCTGAGGCTCAGAGAGGGGAGGGACTTGCCTAAGATCACACAGCAGAGTCAGGAGGGGAACCAGGTCTTCCTGAGCTCAGGAAGCTGCTTGAATCACAGCAGCAGCTCCCACTAGGGCTCTTCACGCCTTGACCCAGGGGATGCGGGTTGAAGCAGGACATGGGCTGGGCCGTGACTCACTGTAATAGATGGCTCCCTTGGGGTCATTTTCCGGGTGACTCCATCTACAGCTCTTCTTGGTCCTGAGCCCTGGGTCAGCTTGTCCCAAGTACAGAGCTCCAGCCTCAGTTCCACATATTCTGTCCCTAGTCCCCACCCTGCCCTCTAACCAGGAAGGCAGCATCTAGAACTCAGTGACCCAAGTCCCGTGCTTGGTACTGGGCTCTCTGCAGAAGTTAACAGCTGCCTCCTACTGCTCATTCCCCCACCTCAGCCCACCATCAGTTCTGGAATGGGAGGGACAGGCCTCCTTGGCTGTCCCCTCTCCGTGCCTTTGTGTAGGAAGCACATAACTGAGAACCCCACAATTCCTGTTGCTGCTCCATCCTCTGGGTTCCTCTGCCTGAATCGCTCTGAAAGTTCCCTCAATCCTAAAAGTCTGCCCCCATCACAGCAGAAATGTCCTTGAGGACTGGATGTAGGGCCACACCACCTGGGCCTGTCCTGGCTCAGCCACAGAGAGGCTGTGCTATCCTGGGCATGACACTGCCTTTCCAAGCGTCACTGTCCTCCTCTGGGAGATGCAGATGAATATCATGGCTGTTAACTGGGCTGTTGGGAGAATCAAGAAATGCTGTAGGAGTGTAGGTAAAGGAAGGCTGGTGGCCTGGGCAAGGGTCCTGTCCCTTCTCTTAGCCCCTCAGCTCTCCCCACCTTGAGCTGAGCAACAGTCTTGAGTCCTCAGGTCCAGTCTGGCATCTACCTGAGCCCACATCCCTGCCCCTTACTTGCTACAAACAGGAGACAGAGAGGATGAGGAACAAATATTCATGACTGTACATTAAAGAGTTTAATAATGGATAAAGATATCTTTGAGACTTTAAGAGTAAATAGCTTCAAGATCTGGCTACCAAGAGGAAAAGCTAGGCTTTGCATGGGAGAACAATAAAGGTCCAGCTGCCCATTGGGCCATTCCAGAGGCTTGGACACTCACAGCATATCAAGCCATGTCCCAGGTTCTGAGCATGAATGGCAAGACCACAGACTTCCCCATTTTGCTGGGTCTACCTGATCCCCTGACAGCCACACCCCCACCTACAGGCTCTGGAAGAGGCTACCGTGGACTCCGACATGTGAGTTTTCTTTTTTTTTTTTTTTAAATCCTCTCCTGAGGACATTTTTCCATTTTTTGTTCAGATAGAGTGGGAGGGAGAGAGAGAGAGAGAGAGAAACATCGATGTGAAAGGGACACATCGAGTGGCTGCCACCCGCAGGACCAACCAGGGCCGGGGACAAACTGCAACCGAGGTCCGTGCCCTTAGCGGGAATCGAACCCGGGTCTCTCGACCGCAGGCCGACACTCTAACCGCTGAGCCAAACCGGCCAGGGCTGACATGTGGGTTTTCCTCTTCGATCTGGTCATTTTGGTGATGTGACCCGGGTGTTCTACAATGAACTTTGTCCCTCTCTTCAGTACTGCCCTTATCACAGTGACAGCATCACAGCCTCTGTTTACTCATCCGTCTCCCCAGGACCAGACTCTTCCTGGCACTGCCCAGGTCCACCTGACATTACATGATTCCTACCCTTGGGTGTGTTTGAGAGCGGGGTGACTGGGCACACCCCTAGACTAGCATTCCTGCGTCTGCCCTGCCCGACCCACAGCTAACTGAGCCCCACACCCCTCAGACCTGGCCACCCTGACCTGGGCAGTTCCCACTGCCCTGTGGGGCCCTGTCCACCACACGATGACTCCTGGTTCACTGCAGGGGCACCCACTGTCCAAGGATGCGCACGCTCCCCTGCAGCCCGCGTTCCTCCCCGAGGGCCCCCCGTGGGAGCGCCCGGACACTCGGCCCGCTGTCCCCACACACGCATTCTCGCGGGTGTCGCGCGGTCACCGCGGACTCACCAACGCCCATCCCGGAGCCCGCACTCACCCATGTTGACGAAGCTCATGACCAGGTCGGCACGACCCAAGCGCCGCTCGCGGGGGCCACCGTCCTCGTCGTCGTCGCCGGCCATGGCGTGGTAGAGGTCCAGCATGAAGAGCGGCGCGGACGCGGGCAGCCGGGCGGCGGCGGGAGGCGCGCGGGGCCGGGGTCGCCCGGGCAGCCCCAGCACCGCCAGGATCTCGCGCTGCAGGTCGCGGCGCTCGCGCGGGCCCAGGCGGCGCTGCGGGCAGCCGGGCGGGGGGCGCGGGCCGGGGCCGCCGCCGCTCAGCGCGCACAGCGCCAGGCCCAGGAGCCACAGCGGCCCGGGGCGCGCGGCCATGGCGGGCTGGACCGGGCCGGCGCTCACCCGACGCGCATCCGCTTCGCCGCCGGCCCGGGGCCGGGGCACCCCCGACGGCGAGCGGCGGGCCGGGCTTGGGGCGGGCGGGACGGAGCGGGAGTCGCCCGCGGCCTCAGCGCCGTCCCCAGCGAGCCCAGCGCGCGGCACCTGTCGCGGTTCTGAGTCGAGTGGCCGTGGACGCCAGCACCTGGGGCCGAGGCTACTCTGGGGACGGGGGACCGTCGGCTAATTTGCCTGTCGCCGCCGAGCCCTCCAGTCGGGCTGCTGCCGAAGCCCGCTCAGTCCGGGCGCTCAGGGAGGTGCGGACCCACGAGCCCTGCTCAGTCCAACCCGCGGTCTCTATCGCCCGCCGAGGCTGCGGCCGCCGGTCCAGCTCGAGGCCTTTGGGTCCCGCCCCCTCCAGGGCGGGCCAATGGGGACGTGAGGGCGGAGCCAAATAACCCACCTTCCGGGGAAGAGCTCTGAGATGTAATTGATGTCGTGGGTGGTGGCGCCCGGGAGATTCCACCTGCTGGTGAGTGGTGGGCGGATTAGACTGGGAGTTCACAGACCAGCCGTCAGGGTCGTCAGGGTCATCGGGGTCGTCCCTGGCTGCCCTCGCAGCCGCTGGCCACGCCATCGGACGGTACGCGGACTCTGTCTAAGGACTCCAGGGTAGCGGCCGGGTCAGGAGAAAGCAAGGACCTGCTCCCTCGGGGCGTGTTTTGAGCGCCCTCGCGCGGGAGGGAATCCCGAGTCTTGGTCTGGCCATGAGTGACCCGGCAGCCCCGCCTTGGTTCTCTCTCTCTCCCCAGAACCCGAAACAAGGCCTCAGTCCCGTCTGAAAGGGCTCCGTGGGTGCCAGCCAGGCCCAGAGAATAGACGCCTTCTTCTGCCAGCACAGACGGGCACAGGTACCCCGCCACCGCAGCTTCTGACCGGCCTCGCGGCGCCTTTCCCGCTGTCCCCTTGCATATATTGCTGTGGGCTTCTCTCTCCCTGACTCCAGCTCAGTCGCTGCTCTCAGTGCGCCCACCCACCTGGCTCCCCAGTGCCCCAGACAGCGCCCAGAAGGGCCGCCTCTGCTGTTCCAGCGGCTGTGCTCCCTGCGGACCCCGTGATGACCCAACCTCGCTCGGGAGACGCGCACCGCCTCTAGCCCTGCGGAAGAGCTCTGGGGCCCTTCCTCGGCGTCAGAGAACCGCCTTGGCACATCTTAATTGACAAGGCCCTCAGCAACAATAGGTATTGTTAGGTATATAAATAAATCTCTGCCAATACGACAGGTAAACACAGCTCTCTGCTGTTGTAATGTGCACGTGGGGAGATTACCAACTGCTCTCTTGTAACACTCCCCTCCCCTGGCCAGGACACCGCTCTCCTGCTTCTCTTCCTTCCCATTTCCTGCCCACTTCTTCAGACCCCTTTGGGTTCTGTCCGCAGTCCTGTTCTCCTTCTCAGACTTTCATCCAGCGCGTCCACTTGAGAGACTTCAGTGCCATTATAAGTCATGTCTTACTCTCAAATACATCCCAGCACAGACTCTACTCCTGGAAGTTAGAAGTTACATCCAATCACTGATTAGACGTGATCAAAGCCAGAAGCCTGGGAGCTGATGCAGGTCCCTGCCTGGTGATGGTAGTTTGGTCTACTGAGTCTTTCTCCTCCGGACCGCAGGCCGACGCTCTAACCGCTGAGCCAAACCGGGAGGGCTACTGAGTCTTTCTAATGCTTCGTAAATTCCTGAGCCTTTCTACGCCCTCCTACACTACATGGCTCACATAGCATCTTCTCCACCCTAGACGGCTGTAACAGGCTTCCAACTAGCATCCTTGGTTCTCTTTCCCACCACTCCCTGACTCCTCATTCCCCAGACTGTATTTCTCAGTAAATATCTGACATCCATGGCCTTTCACAGCTAACAGCAGAATTTCCAAAACTGAGGTTCTTGATGGATTTTCTACAAAAAGGAGTTTGGTAAACACTGTTTGATCATTTCCCCCCAGGACAGCTCTAATGCAATCAGCATTTTGTAAGCTGGGGTTTTTTTGAAGAACACATCTTGGGGACCAGGAAGGCACTATGTGATCAAATGCCCAGTACTTAGTGGTCTGGTATCCACCACCTGGTCTCTGCTGCTGACCCCTATTCAGTCTTGTCAAGCCACTAAAAGTATACACTTTGCTTCAGTCACATGGAGTTACCTGGAGCCCCTCATCTGTCCTGCTGTTGACATTTCTGTTCATCAGCACAGGGTTTCCTGTACTGAGAACATCCAGCTCCCTTTTCCTGCCCGGTCCAGTATTACCTCTCTATAAGATGCAGCTGAAGTAACAACTTGTCTTCCCAACGCCATCTCCACCTTCATGGGTAACAAATCTCTCCTGCTCCCAACTCACTCATTTTATTGAACCAAAGTATATTTATTTCACATGTTTGCTCCCTCCACTTCTCTCCATTGTGAACTTCTTGAGGCAGAGACTGACCTTCGGATCCCCGTGTCAGACTCATGTTTAGAGTCTCAATAAATATTTGCTGAATTTACTAGTCTCTGAGAAAGGAGTCTCCTCCAACCTTCATGAATCCTTCCATTGAGACCTGTTCATCATTGCATGGAAATGAAACACAAAGCTGTGTTGGAGTGTGGGGCCAGTCAGGCCCAGTCTCTAACTATGTGACTGGTTTTCTTGCACACCAGCCACAAATGCAAACCAACAAATTTTCACTATTGAAACCACAAGGCTAAATTCATGATCTCCCTGACCCATTCTACATAGAACATAAAAACAAAAGAGCAATTTAAAAGAGTAGAGAGAACAGTTTTCCATAAGAAAGATACTATAGGAATAGAGATTATTCAATATTATCACTGACACCTTTATCCTTTGCATTTTGTGATCTGGGGACCTGTTTACTCCTATCACAGTATCCTATCCTGAGCTCCTGTCTTGACCATGTCAGACCCAGAGGCCACCATGAGGTAGATGCACAATAACGTCTCATTAAATGACTGCTGAGGGACCTAAAAGATGACTCACTCACTTTCCTGTCTGGCTGTATCTACGATGTTGGGAAAATCCAGCTCGTCATGTTCCCAAGGTGTGCTTACATGGTAAGAAGAAACAAATAAACATAATGAGATGGTTCTGTCTTCATGAGGAATCTCCAGCCAATGGATCAGGTCCCTCCTATTAAAGGACTAAATGCTCCAATTAAAAGTCAGAGATTGTCAGATGACTTAGGAAAAGAAAAAAAAGAAAGCAAAAATAAATGACCAGCAGTCTAAAAGAGATGCACTGTAAATATAAAAACATAGGTTGAAAGTAAATGGATGGGAAAAAATCATGAAAATAAAAGAGTAAGAAGGCTAGAGTGACTATATTAATATCAGGTAAATTTGTCTTCAAGGTAAAGGATGCTATCTACAGAGTAAAATGGCAACCCACAGAATAGGAGAAAATATTTGCAAATCATATATCTGAGAATATCCAGAATATATAAAGAACTCCGACAGCCCAACCGGTGTGGCCCAGTGGTTGAGCGTCGCTCCATGCACCAAGAGGTCATCAGTTCGATTCCCAGTCAGGGCACATGCCCAGGTTGTGGGTCAGATCCCTAGTGGGGAGCATGCAGGAGGCGGCCAGTCGATGTTCTCTCTCATTGATGTTTCTATCTCTCTCTCCCTCTCCCTTCCTCTCTCTCGAAAATCAATAAAGAAAAAAATTTTTTAAAAAGGAACTCCAACAACTCAAAAATAATAAAACAAATGACCAATTTAGATATAAGCAAAGGACTTAAATAGACATTTCTTCAAAGAATATGTATGGATAGCCAATAAACACATGAAAAGACGCTCAACATTACTAATCATTAGGGAAATACAAATCAAAACCACAATGAGATAACACTTTACATCCATTAGGATGATTATTATTTTTAAAAAGCAGAAACTAGGAACTGTTAGTGAGGATGCAGAGGAATTAGAACCCTTGTGCATTGCTGGTGGGGATGTAAAATGGTGCAGCTGATGTGGAAAGTAAGGTGGTTCCTCAAAAAGCTAAACATAGAATTACCAGATGATCAGCAGTTCCACCTTTGGGTACATATCCAAAATAATTGAAAGCAGGGAGTTGTATAGATATTTGTACACCAATGTTCATAGCAGCATTATTCATAATAGCCAAAAGATGAAAGCAATCTAACTATCCATCACAGGTGATTGAATAAGCAAAAAATGGGGTATATATACAATTCAGCCATGAAAAGGAAGCAAATTCTGACACATGTTGCAACATGGATGAATCTTGAAGATGTGCTAAGTTAAGCCAAATACAAAAGGACAAATAGTGTATGATTTCACTTATATGAGATACCTAGAGTAGTTGAATTCAGAGACAGAAAGTAGAATTGTGGTTGCCAGGGGCTGGAGGAGTGGGTAATGGACAGTTATTGTTTGATAGGTACAGAGTTTCAGTTTGGAGTGATGAAAAGTATTATGGAGATGAATGGTAATGGTAGTTGCACAACAAAGTGAATATACTTAATGCTGCTGAATTGTATATCTAAAAATGGTTAAAATTGTAATTTTTGTTATGTATATTATACCATAATAAAAGTGATCAAGAGCCCTGGCCGGTTTGGCTCAGCGGTTAGAGCGTCGGCGGTCCAGAGAGACCCGGGTTCGGTTCCCGCTAAGGGCATGTACCTCGGTTGCAGTTTGTCCTCAGCCCTGGTTGGATCGTGCGGGTGGCAACCACTTGATGTGTCCCTTTCACGTCGATGTTTCTCTCTCTCTCTCTCTCTCTCTCCCACTCTATCTGAACAAAATATGGAAAAGTGTCCTTGGGTGAGGATTAAAAAAAAAAGTGATCAAGAGTACAAGAGTAATATCTAAGCATTTTTACTCAAACCACACTCGAAAATGGAATAAGCAGAGTGCAGGGGACAGGTATAGAGTACCTCTAATGTCTTGTAGTTCAGTGACTGCACACGGACACATCCTACTTACAGAAAGTCTGCTTTGATAACTTTATACACACCTGCACGGGAGGGTAATGGATGAGGGCAAGATAACAGTGAAAAAAAAGCACAGGCTCTGAAATCAGACAGACAAGAGTTCTTATCAAAGCTCCACACCAGCCATGTGACATCTAACTCCTCTCAGCTTCTGACTTCTCTTGTGTAAGACAGGATCATAATAGTACCAACCTAGAGAGCTGTGGTAATGGCGGTGACAGCTGCCCCTCATTCACTGTAGGCCCCAGGGCTTGGAGCCCCAGGATCCCAGCTCCACCACAAGCTGGCTATGGGAC